TGAATATCTTGAATAATTACATTTGCATGCATTGCATCAAAACTCATCATGGTCTAAACAATAGAAACTTATAATAAACGTGATCTAGGCATGCATACAAGCTGAAGCCCGTGATGTAATTCATTTCATAAATCAATAGATTAGAATTAAATTGTCTTTAGAATATCAACATTGTCACAGGTTTAATTGAATTGTTTTTCTTTTCTCAGAAAAAAGCCTTCATTTTCGATCTGACACAATGAGTTTTATTTTTAAAATGTAGTAAATAGCTTAATGTATTGGAAAGAACGTCGATTAATTGTCCGTACAACAAATAGGAATAACTCAAGAAAATAGATGATCATTTGGGAATGGTTATGTAGATTTAAATAGTTGAAACATAGGTGAACTTGAGAATGTTTGTTAAGTTTTAGGTAAATTTAAGCGTTCTACCGTTCTGTACCGTGAGCAATTCATTCTTCATCTTCCGAATCCAATATGAAGATTAAATCTTCAATAGTGGATATTTCTACATAAACATCAAGCGATGGCGACACTTTAGCGATGTCCATTTTGATTTGTTCAACCGGGCGCGAGTTTTGTGCATCAGCAGATACTTGAGAGTGGACTTCTAATTTCGATAAAGATGGATTCTGTTTGAGAAACTTTTCAAAATCTTCGTTCACATTGAAGTCGTTTACTTTCAATTGCATCTTTTCCAGTCGATCGAATAAGAACGGAATCCTCGGCATCTCACCAACGCGGCGCATATCGATATTGATTTCTTTGACACTTTTGAGGTTAATGGAAGAATTGCCCAGATTGAAGTATCTGTTGCCACAAAGAATATCAAGCAATGCGAGTGACTGAAGGTATCCGCTTACGCCTCCCATGAATTTCATGTCGTAACCAGCACCCAAAAGGCCAAGTTTTTGCAGACGGGGATTCAGACGTAACAATTCCACAACATTTGCTCGGTTGCGTTCATTAACATCATCGTGGATTTGCAGCTCTTTCAAATGAGCAAATGTTTTTCCGAAGCTATGAACATCTCCATGAATTACCAAACGGCGCGTATTGGGAAACCACGCGCTTACGTCACACAAATTAGACCCCATAAACATAATAGACTGAACTTTTAAGAATGGTTTGGTCCATTTCGCCGCCACCTCTTTCCGAGTACCAGCAATCGCGATGTCGATCAATGAATCAGCACAATATTCATTCATGTAACGACCAAGTTCAGCTTGTTTGTCTGCGTCGATATTCGAACAAACAATGAATATCAAGGTAAACTGGTGGCTAAAGTGGCGTAAAACCTTCAAGCAATTGGAGATATGAAACACTTGAATTTCGTTTTCAATTGATTTCACTGTGATGTGCAATCGACGGATAGCTGGACGAAATATTACCGCCTTTGCTCTACACTTGGCGGCAAATGCCTGTTTGGCTGAGCGCTGGAATCGTTTGCACGTGTCAGCTACGTTGACCAGATCCTGTAGCATCAAATGACCGAAAATGACTTCAAGGCAGTCATCGTTGACATCGGTAATCTTGGTCATTGCGGCAGCCTCTTCTGGTGTTCCAAATGTCTTTCGCTTGTTCTGTTCGCTACTGTCTTCATCGTGTTCACGTTTTTGGTGGTCCATTTTGACGAATGTCAGCCGGTCTCTGTTCAAAGAGAAAATACACAGAAAATGAGTTTGAAATTTTATAATATTCAATAAAAAAACAAGAAGTCAAGTTGATGGCAAAAAGTTCAAGAAGTTCATCGACAATAATCAGCTACTAGCAACGCCGTGTGACGATTATTCCAATTTTTAAAGGGTGCAAATATTATTGCATTTTTCTCAAAATGTTACATTGCAAAAACTATAACAACAAAAACTCATTCACTTTTCTGTGGATTCCGAAATATTTTCGATGTTTTGCTACACAATTTATATTCGTCTCTTTCAGTTTTTGTTAATAATATTAGGAAATTTTTCCAAAAAATTTAATTGAATGAGCTTTTAGCGCGAAATAAATGTCAGAAATGAAATTGGTTAAAATGATGAAATTAGCTGTGTGCAAAAATGGCGGAGTCAGAAGACAGTATGAGAGAGAAAATTCTTTGTTCGCGCAGTTGTGAAATAGCTGGCACACACAGCGACACACTATACACCTATCTCTCATTTCGAAATGCCATGCGAAGTGTTCAGTTTCGAATCGTGCATTCGGAAAGTGTTTTTCGAACTTGAATTGATGACGTAAAGACGGAGAAGTTCAAATATAGGAGGAGGAAGCGTTGGGAAATTAAATCAATTGATCATAAATAGCGAGGGAAACATGAAAAACATAAAATATTGATTGAAACCAAACAACACACGATAAATGTGGTTTGGGCAATAGAACATTTTGATAATCGCGATTAAAACATGTGAAAAACGAGACAAGTGTTGCAAATTGTTTCTCAGTTGAATAAAACAGATTTTAATGTTCATTGGAAAATCATACATAGATTAGATGGTTTACTCAATTGAATTGATTACTGCATGATAAATGACGCGATACATGAAACCAGCACTTTCTATCCTTTATCATTCAGAGCTGGACCCATTTTTCTCAGTACCATTAAGTCAATCAACGTATCAGAAATATAAAATTTTCAAACTGCTTCATTACTTCAAGTCAAGGTTGAACTTCAAATCGATTCAAGTGTTAGTACTTTGCGTTGTCACATGTAAAGTGAAGCTATTGGACGAATCAGAATTGAATTCTGAAGAATCTTTATTGCTAAATTTTCGAATCTATCAATTGTGTGGTTTGGTTCCATTTTACATATCACTCGATACTGAAACACGATCATCAAGAAAACAATGGAAGTGGTATAACGTGGCACTCTGGCTAGACTTACTACATTTGTTTTGATATTTGAAAAGAGGACTGCTGAAATAGAATTGATTTTTGATTGTGAAAAAAGCTTTCATTTTTGATCTGATACAACGAGTTTTATTTTTAAAAAAATGAACTAAATAGCTTGATGTATTGAAAAGAACGTGGATTTATTATCCGCATGAAAAATGGAAGTGATTATGAATTCAGAGAATCGTTGGTCTTTTGGAAAAGTTTATGTATTTTCGAATTTCAAATATTTGGAACTGAGGTGAATTTTAGAATGCGAAGTTTTCGATTCATCTCCTGATCATGTTCAAACAAACATAATGTAACCAATTCATTCTTCATTCTTTCTCTTCTGAATCGTCGTTGAATAATGAGATTACAATCCTATACGAACTGTAGTAGTAATTTCTACATCAACATCGAGCGATGGCGATACTTCGGCGATTTTCATTTTGATTTGTTCAACCGAATGCGAGTTTTGTGCCCGAGCCAATACATAAGAGTGGATAATCAATTTGGATAAAGATGGATTCTGTTTGAGGAATTTCCCGAAGTTATCGTTCATTTTGAAGTCGTCCACTTCCAATTGCATATTTTCCAGTTGGTCGAATGAAAACGGAATCTTCGGGATGGCATGAACCAAGCGCAAGCCAATATTGAATTCTTTGACACTTTTGAGGTGAATGGAAGAGCCATTCAGATGGAAGAATCCGTTGTCACAACAAATATCAAGCAATGTGAGTGACTGAAGGTATGCGCTTACGCCTTCCATGAATTTCATGTCGTAACCGTGATTCAAAAGACGAAGTTGTTGCAGATGCGGATTCCGATGTAACAATTCCACAACATTTGCTCGGTTGCGTTCAGAAACATCATCGTAAATATCAAGCTGTTCCAAATGAGGAAATGTGTTTTCGACCCATTTAGCACCTGAATGAAGTACCAAACGGCGCGTTTTGGGAAACCATGCGCTTAAGTCACCCAAATCAGAATACAAAAGCTGAATGGAATCGGCATTTATGAATGGTTTCGTCCAATTCGCCGCCACCTCTTTCGGAGCACCAGCAATCGCGATGTCGATCAATGAATCAGCACAATATTCATTCATGTAACGACCAAGCGCAGCTTGTTTGACTGTGTAAATGTAGAAATAATCAATGTCTATCTTGGTGATCTTGTGGCCAAAGTGACGTAAAACCTTCAGGCAATTCGACATGCCGAACACCTTTACGAAGTTTTCAATTGATTCGAATGGTTGCAATCGATGGACAGATGGATGAAGCATCACCAACTTTCCTCTACACTTGGTGGCAAATACCGCTTTGGCTGAGGGCTGGAATCTTTTACACGTGTCAGCTACATTGACCAGATCCTGTAGCATCAAATGACTGAATATGAGCTCAAGGCAGTCATCGTTGACATCGTTTATCTTGGTCACTCCGTCAGCCTCATCTGGTGTTCCAAGTTTCTTCCGCTTGTTCTGTTCGCTGTTGTTGTCATGGTGTTCACGTTTTTGGTGGTCCATTTTGACGAGTGTCAGTCGGTTTCTGTTCAAAGGTAAAATTCACAGGAAATGAGTTTGAAATTTTATAATATTCAATAAAAAAACAAGAAGTCAAGTTGATGGCAAAAAGTGCAAAAAATTCATCGGCAATGATTGGTTAGTAGCACCGCTGTGTGACGATTATTCCAATATTCCAAGTGTGCAAATAATATGGCATTTTCCTCAAAATGTTACATTGTAAAAACTACAACAAGAAAAACTCACTCCCTTTTCTGACGATTGCGAAATATTTCCAAATTTCAATATTTTGGCTTCACAATTTGCGTTTTATTAAATTTTTGTTAAAAATTGAACAAAATTTGTCCAAAAATTGTAGTTTAATTAGCTTTAGCGAGGAATAAATTCCAAAAATCAAATTGCTTAAAATGATGAAATTAGCTGTGTGTAAAAATGGCGGAGTCAAAAGACAGTATCAGTGAGAAAAAACCTTTGTTTGCGCAGTTGTGAAATAGCTGGCACACACAGCGACACACTATACATATACACCCATCTCTCATTTCGAAATGTCAAGCGAAGCGTTCACATTCGAATCGTGTATTCGGAAAGTGTTTTTCGAAATTGACTTGATCTGAACAAAGCGGGAAATTCCAAAGAAAGAATAAACTGGAGGATACTCTTTCATCGACAAAAAATAATTTGTTTTGGATTTGAATTTATGATTCTTTCATTTGATACGTCATGTATAACAACTTTGTTTTATGAGGAACTTTTAATTCAAAATCATTTTAGCAGTAGGAAAAAAAAGTATTGGAAAACCTTATAGGGTTGACTGAAGTATTTTAATGCGATGCAACCTAAATTCTACTGCTGTTGATGATATGACATGCTGAATTGCAAGCATGAAAAACATGTCGAATCCAAATTTTTCAATGAAGATTTTCTTTTATCAATCGATTACAGTTCGCATTCAATGTTTCAACGTAGACACGTCCATTTTCAAAAACATGCACTTCTAGCTCATCTAAATGAGAAAATGTTTTTTCAATCGATCGAAATAATAATAATAGATTAATAGACGGTTATTCCGAATTGCTTGATGAGAATAAATGTAATATTTCTCTATATTTGCACAGTGCCCATGGGAGACCGGGCGGAAAAGTAAAACGTCAACTAAACATGAATCTCTTCTGTATTTTCTACATACGAGCTCAATGTCTAGCGATGGAAACAGTTCCGTGATATTCATTTTGAATTGTTCAATCGAACGGGAGCGTTGTGCCCGACTGAATATTTGAGAGTGGATTTCCAGTTTCGATAAAGATGGATTGAGGAATTTTCCTAACTCATCATATAGAAGTAAAAAAATGTAATTCTTATTACTTTATTACCTACTTATTACTGTAATAAGATGACCTATTACTTATTACGCATCTTATTACTTGTAATAAGATGAGTAATAAGTAATAAGTCTATCTTATTACAAGTAATAAGATGCGTAATAAGTAATAAGATCATCTTATTACAGTAATAAGATTGTAATTGTAATAAGATTGTAATAAGTATCTTATTACTTTTGGTGCAAAAAAAAATCGCAAAAAAAGTTTCATGTAAAAAACATGTCAATTTTTGTCAGTCAAAAAAATGTTGAAAAAAATGTGTCTTGCAAAATTTGACATGATTTTTGTATGAAACTTTTGAAGAAAAGTTTCAAACAAAAAACATGTCAATTTTTGTCAGTCGAAAAAATTGACATGTTTTTTACATGAAACTATTTTTGCCATTTTTTTTTTGCACCAAAAGTAATAAGATACTTATTACGCATCTTATTACTTGTAATAACTTATTACAGTAATTTTTAAAATATAGACTTATTACTTATCACTCATCTTATTACAAGTAATAAGATGCGTAATAAGTAATAAGTCCATCTTATTACAGTAATAAAATGAAAGTAATAAGTAATAAGTTACTTATTACTTTACTTCTATAACTCATCATTCAAGTTGAAGTTATTTACTTCTAATTGCATCTCTTCCAGTTGATCAAATGAAAACGGAGTTTTTGGCATCGGATGGACGTGACGTAGGTATGGAATTCTCCAACACTTTTGAGGTGATTTGAAGAGAACCTAATTAAATTGATTGCTGCATGATTGATTATGTGACACGCGAAATCATCACTCTCTATGCCTTATTATTCAGACCTCAACCCATTTTTCTCAGTATCATTAAGTCAATCAACGTATCAGAAATTTCATTACTTCAAGTCAAGGTTGAACTTCAAATCGATTCAAGTGGTAGTACTTTGCGTTGTCGCATGTAAAGTGAAGCTATTGGACGAATCAGAATTGAATTCTGATGAATCGTTATTGCTAAATTTTCGAATCTATCAATTGTGTGGTCTGATTCCATTTTACATTTCATTCGGTACTGAAATACGAGCATTAGGAAAACAATGGAAGTAGTATAACGTGGCACTCTGGCTAGACTCACTACATTTGTTTTGATATTTGAAAAGAGGACAGCTGAAATGTAATTGATTTTCGATCGAGAACAAAGCCTTCATTTTAGATCATCTGATGCAATGAATTTTATTAAAAATGAAGTAAATAGCTACATTCATTGAAAGGAAAGTGGGATTTATTATGTATATCATAAAGAAATGGTTATGAATTCAAAATAAAATCGTTGTTAAGCTGAAAATTGTTATGTATTTTCAAACAGTTAGAACTGTGTTGGATTTAAGAATTTTCGAGTTTCAGCTAAATTACTTGAAATCACGTTCAGAGAGGTTTAATCAAATACTAATTCATTCTTGTTCCTCTTCATTACAATTCATCGATGTCAAATCTACGACGGCGGAAAGCTAATATCATTACTTCAAGCAATGGAGACACTTCGGCGATGTCCATTTTGATTTGTTCAACCGTACGCGAGTTTTGTGCCCAAATGCATACTTGAGAGTGGATCACCAATTTCGATAAAGATGGATTCTGTTTGAGGAATTTCCCGAAGTTATCGTTCATTTTGAAGTCGTTCACTTTCAACTGCATCTTTTCCAGTTGACCAAATGAGAATGGAATCCTCGACATCTCACCAACGCGGCGCAAGTCAATATTGAATTCTTTGACGCTTTTGAGGTGGATTGAAGAGCCGCCCAGATTGAAGAATTCGTCGTCACAACGAATATCAAGCAATGTGAGTGACTGAAGGTATGAGCTTACGCCTTTCATAAACTTCATATCGTAACCCAGGTCCAAAAGACGAAGTTGTGGCAGATGCGGATTCAGACGTAACGTTTCCGCAATACTTGCTCGCTTGTCTTCATTGACATCATCGTGGATTTCAAGCTCTTCCAAATGTGGAAATGTGTTTTCGGCCCATTTAGCACCTGCATGAAGTACCAAACGACGCGTTTTGGGAAACCATTCGCTTAAGTCACCCAAATCAGACCACCGAAGCTCAATGGTCTGGGCATTTACGAATGGTTTGGTCCAGTTCGCCGCCACCTCTTTCGGAGCACCAGCAATCGCGATGTCGATCAATGAATCAGCACAATATTCATTCATGTAACGACCAAGTTCAGCTTGTTTCACTTCGTTGATATACAAATAATCAATGTATATCATGGTGATCTTATGGCCAAAGTGGCGTAAAACCTTCAAGCAATTCGACATGCCGAACACCTCTACAGCATTTTTGAATGATTCGATTGGTGGCAATCGATTGAGAGATGGATCAAGCATCATCACCTTTCCTCTACACTTGGTGGCAAATGCCGCTTTGGATGATGTCTGGAATCGTTTGCACGTGTCAGCTACGTTGACCAGATCCTGTAGCATCAAATGACCGAAAATTACTTCAAAGCAGTCATCGTTGACATCGGTTATCTTGGTCACTGCGTTGGCCTCTTCTGATGTTTCAAGTTTCTTTCGCATGTTTTGTTCGCTGCTGTCTTCATCGTGATCACGTTTTTGGTCCATTTTGACGAATGCCAGTCGGTCTCTGTTCAAGAAGAAAAGACACAGAAAATGGGTTCAACATTTTATAATATCCATTGGATATTATCCAATCAAAAACAAAAACAAGATGATTTCAAAAAATTCATTGCGAACAAGAAATCTCAAAAAACGTCATTAGCATTGCTTTGTGTCGATTATTCTAATTATTTTTGAGCGGTGTTAAAATAAATGTATTTCTCCTCAAAATTTGAAATTGCACAAACTACAACAACAAAACCACACTCACGCTTCTGCAGATTGCGAAATATTTCCAAATTTCGATGTTTTTCTTCACAATTTCTGTGTTTTCAGTCAATGACAGATAGCTGAGGATATATGCTGAGCATAGAAACTCAGCAAGCTGAGATTGGGATATTTTGACTTTGTGACGTGCTATTCAAACAAATTTATGATGGAGGGGAGTTTGGAACACATTTTCCATTACACTCCATGACTCCATCAACACTCCACCAAAATTCCACATAAATTTGCACGAATAGCAAGTCACAAAATCCAAACGTCCCAATCTCAGCTTGCTGAGTTCCTATGCCCAGCATATATCCTCAGCTATCTCTCATTGACTGTGTGTTTTATTTATCTTTTGTTGATAATTTCACGAAATTGGTCCAAAAAATGTAATTCAACGAGATTTTAGCGAGGAATAAATACCAAAAATCAGATTGCTCAAAATGACGAAATTAGCTGTGTGCAAAGATGGCGGAGTCAGAAGACAGTATGAGAGAGAAAATTCTTTGTTTGCGCAGTTGTGAAATAGCTGGTGCACACATCGACACACTATGACACTCATCTCTCATTTCGAAATGTCATGCGAAGTGTTCACTTTCGAATCGTGTATTCGGAAAGTGCTTTTCGAAATTGACTTGATTCCGAATAGGCGGAGAAAAACACAATTTTCGAGAAGAACACAAAAAGGGAGAAAATTGAACAAATTAAAAATGCAAAACAAAGATTGTATTAATACCGTGTGAAAAAAAAGAATGTCCGCAATTTCAGCGAAATTGAATTTAATATAACTGCATCTTCTGAATTGAATCACATGAAACTGAATTGTCACTGAAAATCGACTTTGTTACCAAATCCACGGTAAAATTGTGTCAAATGAATTCACACCGATATATTTCTTTTCAACAGGATTCTAACACTTGTCGAAACATTTCAAATTTGAATGAATTCCATGAAAATGAGAGTATTTCGGAAAATTACCTTCCAATCGGTTTGTGAGATATGATTATCAACTGAAAGAATTATATTTGCTTTGCTTGCTGTTTCTTTCTCTGATGCCGTCTACTTGTGGTCGTCTCCTTCCACTGTGCGCGAACGAATGAACGAAATTCATCGACTGTCATATAAAAAGCGCGCACTAATCCGATTGACATTGCATGCTCTTACGCATAGGAATGAAGTTGGCTGTCATCCGCTGTTCAAACTTTGAATTCAAATCAGTCTAAAAGTCAATCAATTCAATTTCTTGGATGAATAATAAAATTCTTAAGCCACAAATGAGAATAGTTTAGAAAAATATGTCTAGAATAAATTCCTGAAATAGAATTCCTAACATATAGTCACTTGACTTTGACACAAACGAAATGTTGTAGTTTTCATGATATTAATAACAAACAAATGAACATGAGAGGAAATTTTCCAAACATTTTCCAATAATTCCATCATTCATAATGAATCTTTTTTTGAATATCTTGATTAAAATCACATTGACACGCATTGCATCAAAACTCATCATGGTTTAATCAATAGAAAGTTATAATAATTGCGATTTAAACATCCATACAAACTGAAGCTCGTGATGTAATTTATTTCATAAATCAATGGATTAGAATTGAAAATTTAATTTTTTTTCAGAGGTTATACCTAATTAAACTGATTGATGCATGATAAATAACATGACACCAGCACTTCTCATCGATTCGATCATCACGTAGGGTAGGGAGGGGCTAACTCGTACACGGGGCTAAGTCGTACACTTGACATAACTCAGCACTGCTTTGTCGTATCGAACTGAGAGTAGGCTTTGTGAACGCGCCTTAACGAGTTGCATGGTTGGCTAGTGTCAGATCTCAATGTTGACAGTGTTAGTATAGTAGTAGCAATCGTTGAGTGAAGACGTATGTTTTTTTTCATCAAAAGTAAATTTTTTTTTCTTCACATTTTTTGGGTTGTATCATTCAATTTTGTGTGTATCAACAAACGGGTAAGTGCATTTTAAAGAGGAAGATGATCTACATACAATTAGACTAGTGATTTTGTGAATAAAGTGTGAAAAAAAAATTGTGCTGTTGCTCGAAGTCAAAATGGCGGAGCGGGGCTAACTCGTACACTTTTGATTGGGGCTAACTCGTACAGCTTGATTTTTTGTTTTCATACAAACAAACGTTTCTGAGCCACTGCATACACATTCAGAACTGCTTACAAGGCATTTTTTACCATTATATTGTGTTGTTTCAGCAAAATGGTTCGCAACTATAAGCGAAAAACACAAGAAATAGACAAAGAAAAGATGAAGTTGGCCGTCCTTTCTGTCCGACGCGACAAATTATCAGTGCGAAGAGCCGCTGAATTATATAGCACCAAGAGCAACGCATTTCACCTTACCAGCAAATTTGGACAAAATTGAAGCAGGGCCAAGCAAATCAACAAAGCGTAAGCGCACATCTGATTCAGATGAAGATGATTTGGAAACCACTTGTTGCGTTTGTTGCGATAAATTGCTTAAAGGTCAGCGGTTCAAAGTGTGCATCGAATGTCGTCGCAAAGCCCACACTGATTGCGTGCGAACAAGCGACAACATCTTCACATGCATCAACTGTTTCTCCGAGCTAGACGAGGACAGCGATAGCAATTAAAACAAACAAAAAAAAAATCAATTTTTTTTTTCATTTTCAAAATCTCAATTTTTTTTTCATTTTCGTAATCTCATTAAAATCACTTCATTTTCTATAGAACATTAAGCGTATTTGTAATCCAAAGTCTCAGCAATAGATCAATAAATAATTATATTCCATTTTAAAGTTGATTGAAACGTATGTTTGCGAGTTATTATAGGCAAAATTGTCACTGTACGAGTTAGCCCCACCATTTTTGGAATTTTCAATTTTGAGGTGCCCACCTAATCACCGTCATAACTTCGAAACTATTGCACCAATTCATATATCAACACAAGCGTTTTGTAGCTGAAGCCTCAAGCTTTAAAATGGTGTATAAGACTTGGGGATACAATGAAGTTATGAGTGACTTTTTCTCTCTAAACCAAAAAGTGTACGAGTTAGCCCCTCCCTACCCTAATCAGATCAAATAATTGAAACTGCTTCAAAAATTTGCACTAATATTGCGTAGGCGTCGCATCGATCCAAGTTCTGGTGTTTGTAATGTTACAAATGAAAATCAGCAATTAAACAAAAGAGAGATGAATGTTCCAATATAACAATTGTGTGCTCTAGTTCGATACAGAAACAGGAGCATCAAGAAAACTGGCTAGACTCACTGCATTTATTTTGATATTTAAAGAGAAAATAGCTGAAGTAGAATTGATTTTTGATTGAGAAAAAAGCCTTCATTTTGGATCTGATACAACGCGTTTTATTTGAAAATTTAGTAAAAAGCTTAATGTATTGAAAAGAACGTGGATGGAAAATGGAAGTGATTATGAAATCAGGAAAAACGGATCGTTGATCATTTGGAAATGTTTATGTTTCAAATAGTTGGAACTGTGGTGAATTTTAGAATGCGAAGTTTCCGATTAACTTCTCGTGATCATGTTCAAGCAAATATAATGTAACCAATGCATTCTTCATTCTTCCTCTTCTGAATCGTCGCTGGATAATGAGATTACCATCATACGAAATATAGTAGATATTTCTACATCAACATCGAGCGATGGCGACACTTTGGCGATGTCCATTTTGATTTGTCCAACCAAACGCGAGTTTTGTGTATCAGCATATACTTGAGAGTGGATCACCAATTTCGATAAAGATGGATTGTGTTTGAGGAATTTCCCGAAGTCATCGTTCATTTTGAAGTCGTTCACTTTCAACTGCATCTTATCCAGTTGACCGAATGAAAACGGAATTTTCCGCATCTCACCAACGCGGCGTAAGTCAATATTGAATTCTTTGACGCTTTTGAGGTTGATTGAAGAGCCATCCAGATTCAAGAATCCACTGCCATAACGAATATCAAGCAATGTGAGTGACTGAAGGTATGCGCTTACGCTTTCCATGAACGTCATGTCGTAACCCAGGCCCAAAAGACGAAGTTGTTGCAGATGAGGATTCAGACGTAACATTTCGGCAACACTTGCTCGGTTGCGTTTATTACTACCATTGTGGATTTCAAGCTCTTCCAAATGAGGAAATGTGTTTTGGACCCATTGGACACCAGCATGAAGCACCAAACGACGCGTTTTGGGAAACCATTCGCTTAAGTCACCCAAATCACTCGACCAGAGCCAAACAGTCTCGGCATTTATGAATGGTTTGGTCCAATTCGCTATCACCTCTTCCGAAGCACCAATCGTGATGTCGATCAAAGAGTCAGCACAATATTCATTCATGTAGCGGCCAAGTACAGCTTGTTTGACTGTGTTGATGAAGAAATAATCAATGTCTATCTTGGTGATCTTGTGGCCAAAGTGACGTAAAAGCTTCAAGCAATTAGACATGCCGAACACCTTAACGAAGTTTTCAAGTGATTCGAATGGTTCCAATCGATGGACAGATGGATGAAGCATCAACCACTTTCCTCTGCACTTGGATGCAAATACCGCTTTTGCTGAGGGCTGGAATCGCTTACACGTGTCAGCTACATTGACCAGATCCTGTAGCATCAAATGACCAAAGATGAGCTCAAGGCAGTCATCGTTGACATCGGTTATCTTGGTCACTCCGTCAGCCTCATCTGGTGTTCCAAGTTTCTTCCGTTTGTTCTGTTCGCTGCTTTTGTCATCGTGTTCACGTTTTTGGGCATCCATTTTGACGGGTGTCAGTCGGTCTCTGTTCAAACGTAAAATACACAGAAAATGAGTTTGAAATTTTATAATATTCAATAAAAAAACAAAGTCAAGTTGATGGCAAAAATGCAAAAAATTCATCGGCAATAATTGGTTAGTAGCACCGCTGTGTGACGATTATTCCAATTTTCGAAGGGTGCAAATATTATTGCATTTTCCTCAAAATGTTACATTGCAAAATCTACAACAACAAAAACTCACTCCCTTTTCTGACGATTGCGAAATATTTCCAAATTTCAATTTTTTGGCTTCCCAATTTGCGTTTTATTAAATTTTTGTTAAAAATTGAACGAAATTTGTCCAAAAATTGTAGTTTAATTAGCTTTAGCGAGGAATAAATTCCAAAACTCAAATTGATTAAAATAATGAAATTAGCTATGTGCAAAAATGGCGGAGTCAAAAGACAGTATCAGTGAGAAAAAAGCTTTGTTTGCGCAGTTGTGAAATAGCTGGCACACACAGCGACACACTTTGACACTCATCTCTTATTTCGAAATGTCATACGATATTTTCACTTTCGAATCATGCATTCGGAAAGTGTTTTTCGAAATTGACTTGGTGACGTTAAGGCGGAAAGATTCAAGAAAGAATAAATTGGAGGTGGATTAAGTCAAGAAAATTCGAATGAATGAAAAACATAAAAAACAAAAGGAAAATGTTTCAATCACAATGAAAATGTAAAAAAAAAACGATTCAAAAATGCATAAAAGCGGACTCGTGCCGTGGAACATTTCACAATCCAACAAAGTGGAATTAAATTGTCATTTAGAAAATCAAGAACAAATTGGATGTTTCACCTAATTGGATTGAGTGCTGCAAGATAAATCACGCAATATGAGAAATCACTTTCTATGCCTCATTTTTCAGAGCTCAACACATTTGTTCAGTACTATTAACCCTCTGATCGTTTGTTGGGTGTACAACGCCCGAGGCGACTTTGAACCTCGAATAAAAGTACCAAAAAACGAAAAAATCACATTGAAATAGGTACCGTTCGATAGCTTGAACCTTTATCTATACGTCAGTGAAATTTCATGTGCATATGTGTAAGAATGTGTGAGATATTGCCTCCCACAACACATGTGCGCGAGTGAAGGGAGCAGACGGAAGCGTATAGCGGACGATATGGTCACTATGATGATTTTCGAGAAACGAATGATTATATTAGGTTTAAGCCAAAGGCGTCTTAGATTTAAGTTTCTCAATAATATTTAAATCGTTCTAATCAAATTAGGTTTGATAATAGTTTCATGTCAGCGATTTGCTATAAAAGGCAGTGAAGAACCAATTAGCTGGCTAATTAGCCGCATAAGTGTATACTGGCTAACGGATGTGTAGACCAGTGAAAAAACTTCAGTAAGAACTGAACGCAATCATCTGAACTGACGTTTGTGACTGACATTTAAATCACCAGGTCAGAGTTTAAATGAAACCAAACATCGACATTTTTTTTAATTAAGTTTTTGAAAAAAAAAACTCAAATTATAAAAATGACTTTTAAATTGAAAATTAATTGAAATATATCAATTTTTTTTAAAATTTGTATGATTTGAATCAGAATACGCAAATCAAAAATTATTATACTTTGAATGTACTCATTTCGCACAGATAGCTGGCTAACGATTGGCTTACACCAGTTGTTGGTGTAAGCCAAGGCTAAGACAATGCTGGCTAACGAAAAACCATCACTGATAAAAGGTGAATCGATGAAAGTATTTATTCAGTCTTTTAGTGACTGGGAAACTGAGAACTTCTAATAAAGAATGATCAGAAACAAAAGAGATCTTGTTTTAAATAGATAGTTCTTTCCCAAAGACTCAAACTAATATTGTTAATACCATCAACAATATTCGTTCCTTCACTCGCGCGTTCGTTTCTTGGGGCGTACGACGCCCCAAGTGTATTTTTTCATGAAAACTGGACTGTGATAAGAGATAACGATTTAATGTCTTCGGCAAATATGTAGTACTAGAGGTCCTCTACATCTTTACTAAAGACAGATATGGCTTATCTCTTATCAGTTCCGCAAAATGCGCGAAAAACCGCGAAACCGCAAATATTCGGTTTTCCATTTATCACGGAACTGATAAGAGTTAATAGATATCTGTCTTCAGCAAAGCTGTAGAGCAGATTGGGTTCTACAACTTTGCTCAAAAAACCAAGTCATTATCTCTTATCAGTAACGCGAAAAATGATAAGAGAAATCTCGCGTTTTTCGCGGTTTTCCGCTTAACTGATAAGAGATAACGAAATAAAGCATGTGGAAAATTGTAGTACTCGTGGTCCTGTACAACTTTGCTGAAAACAGATGTCACTTATCTCTTATCAGTCAAGCAAAAAAAAAAACTATCAAAAAACCCATATGGTGGGAGATCTTTCGCGGTTTTTCGCGTATATTGCGTAACTGATAAGAGATAAGCGATATCTGTTTTCGGCAAATTTATAGTGCCGGCTGAATATTACAACTTTGCCGAAGACACCAATTCGTTATCTCTTATCATTTACGCGAAAAATCGCGAAAAACGCGAATTTTCTCTTATCATTTTCCGCGGAACTGATAAGAGATAAGGAGATGGTGTCTTCAAACAATTGTAGTACTTGACTTGCTTTACAACTTTGGTGAAAGCACTCATCATTTATATCTTGTCAATTCCGTGAAAAATGAGAAGCCGAAAATTCACGTTTCCGCGGTTTTTCGCGTATTTCGCGGAACTGATAAGAGATAAGCAATATGTGTCTTCAGCAATGTTGTGTAGCGGGTTAAGTACTACAACTTTGTCAAAGACACTAAGTCGATATCTCATATTACAATCAAGTTTTCATACAAAATGCACTTGGGGCGCTGTACGCCCCATGAAACGAAGTTAAGGTGTAAACGCAACAAACGATCAGAGGGTTAAGTAATCAACGTGTCAGAAATATTAAATTTTCGAACTGCTTCATTGCTTCAGGTCAAGGTTGAACTTCACATCGATTCAAGTGTTAGCGTTTTGCAATGTTACTCAAATAAAATATAGATTTAATCGAATCAGCAATATATAATCTAGAATTTTCATTGTTAAAGTCTTCAAACTATCAATTCCATTTTCCAATTCCAGTCTATTCGATATTAAAAAACGATCGTCAAGAAAATCAAGAAAGTGGATCAAATGGTACAATGTTACATTCTGTAGAATGGATAGTCTGTTCACAATCGTCTTGATATTGAAGAGAAGGCAGCTGAAATAGAATTGATTTTTGATTGAGAAAAACGTCTTTATTTTTGATCTGATACATTGATGAGAGTTTTATTTCAAAATCTAGTAAATAGCTTAATGTATTGATCCTGGATTAACTATAAAATTATTCGTTTCAAATAAAAATGACTATAAATTCAGAAAAAGCGGCTGATAATTTGGAAATCGTCATGTAGTTCGAAATAGTTGAAACAATGGTGAATTCATGAACGATAAACCTGTCGAAGCATAAACATATTCAGTATTTTTATCATGTTGATTGCAAATAGAGTAGTTACAATATTAGTTGAATCACTTTGGAAACGATAAAACCATTCCGATTCCTTGCAATCCAACGGCAAAGTCAGAAAATTTGTCCACGAAGAATTTGTGATGAGGGTTGATTACAGAAAGACGAGTTGCAATGCATTGATTTGATGACAAGCAATTGCATCATTCTTTTCCACTTAGGCATTGGCGCCAACAATAACTTACCTACTCATTTCATTACAATTCGCTGCTGCTTCTCGAATTTAAGATTAATAACAATTCGAAAGCCATTTATCCATCAAATGTTCTTGGTGTTGCTGTTGATCAAAGACTATCAAAAATGTAGCATAATTCAGGAACAATCTCAATCATTTATTCATTCTTGAATACTTTCGAATCAACGCGAATTGAAGAAAATTCGGTTGAAAACCGATGAATGAATCAAAAATGCAAGAAAAAAATTATTTGAAAATTGATTTTTATTTTACAATAAAAGAGACCTAAATTCTACAATAGAAAAAAAGCGAACGAATCAAGGAAGAAAAAAAGAATTCAAAGAAAATTGAAGAAAAAAAAAGAATCCAACCGAACACGAAAACATAAAGATATTCATAGAAGTCCCATGAAAGTAAAAACACAAATACATTATTTCACTGGTAAGCTTGAGCTGAGTTTTTATTTCACTTTGGAAATTACATTGAGGTTTTTTGTCATCGCTTTTTGTTTTCGTTTATATCTTCATTTTAACAGAGTATATCATTGACAAGCTATGGCTGAACAATTCTTAATACAGAAAAAAAATCAACAAAATATCCATTCCATTTTGTTTTTCGACAGAGAATAATCGAGAAAAAAAAAATAATGAAATTAAATCAATCATAAAAAATAGTTGAACTGTTCTTAAATTAAACATATCGAAATCCATGAATTTGCTCGTTTCACTAAAAATTAAAAGGCAGTATAAAGAGCGTTGTTTCCGCATCAACTGAAAATAATTTCATTAACAAATTTCTTTTTCATCTTCTTCTTCTTTTAAATGGTTATTGATTAGCTTAGATTTTTCACTTCTGAAAGTTGTACACCATATAACTGATTGAAATTTTGCTTCTTTTGATTTTATTGCATGAATGTTCCATTTTTCTTTTTCTTCTAAATTAACAATAAAGAGTTTTTTTTGGCACTTTGACAATTTAACTTCTAAAACTTTTATTCGACTATGAGTTCAAGAATGTGAAAAAAACTAGTTTTACAATTCTGATGATGACATTGAAATCATGGGTTCATTTCCAATTCAGGATTACTTCAATCAATTCCCGATTCTAATTGCTGGGTGTACGTCGATTGCAATTGTTGTTGTTTTCGTCATTCGATTTTCGAATAATATCCCATTGTGACTTGGTTATTTTCGTGTGTGTTTGTGTGTGGACTTAAAAATTAAAAAAAAAGCAAATAAAAAATGAAGGAACAAAAATGCATGCATTTCATTTATTTTAATTTTTTTTTTCTTTTGCGTATGAACTATAGCTTATTGATGAAGCGATTCAATTTTTTCGTCCTCTTGACTGAAAAATAAAGAGAAAAAAATACGAAAATCAAAAATAAAATTTAAAAAAAGGAAAAAATATAAATTAACCATAAAATTGTTAGTTGATGACTGGATAACCTAGGAAAAAAATTGCATACTCCGTTTTAGATCTGAATTATCGTCAAAATAGATATAAAATTCGATTTGAACTCATTTTTGTGGTTATTTTATGATGAGATCATATGTCTATCCTTTAGCATTGTGTGACCAAATCAGAGTCATATTTGAATCAAACCAATGAAAATTGAAAAAAAAAATCTTGAACTAAGTTCAAGAGTATTCAGACATAACTTGATAACGAGAATGTGTAAACACTGAAAACTCAACAAATGTCGACATGAGATTCAAATATTCATAAAATGAATAACGTTTCAGAAACATTCTGAACATGGTTTTCTTATCTATCTTCCAGTGAAAAACTCTCACATCGTTTAAAACAGTTCCAATTCAATAATAGCGCGTAAACAGTGTTTTTCCACTAAACACGTGAATCAGATTTAATTAAAAAAAACCATTAGCTCTATTATAGAGCCTATATGAACTTCAATTACCTAGCTCCATGAGCTTCATCATCTCTGTCAATTAAAACTAAAACCAAAATCGTTCTATTCACTTTCCCCACCGCATGAAACAATTCCCAAAAAATTTCCCTATGATACAACAAACAATGGTGTATTTGTATTCTCTTTGGCCGGCAAATTGATATTTAATTCTATATCATTTCCATAAATTTAAAAAGCCTATCTATAAGTGCCTATTGATTTGACGACACTGAATCCTTTTGCATTGCTTCGTCTATATATTTTGATTCTGTGTTTCATCATAAAATAATTCATTTACATGTACACACCCATCCACGTGTGTGTGACAATTCGACATCCAACAGTTTGATTGCCGCACAATTGCTTTTATCAAAAATGTGTGTTTTTACCAACAACAAAAAAATTGCGTCCATCGTCGATTGACCGCAAAAAAAAGGTCGGTGTTCGAGTCGTTCGAAAAAATGTTCGATTTGGTCTAACTAACTACAAATTAATTGAATCCATGGCAAAAGACCGATTCGGGCCATTTTCACCGTCCCACCCAGAAAATATTGAGAATTAGTAAAATGGTTTGAAAACCAACTAAATGTGTAAGACTAATGTCGCTCGATGGTAACAGCGATTGAGACGTTGGACGCGGATAAATTATGTGAACCGGTGGCGGTTCTTCGAGTTCATCGAAATCGTTTGGATCGAATGGACGACCGTAATTACGCTCTAACTCGGGATAAATCAATGAGGATTGAAACCAAAAACTACTGAAATTGGAACAAGATGGTTGAATTAGGAGATGTTAGAGCATTGGAATTGGTATTTTTAATCAATTTTTTTTTATTTTCCATAGTTTTACCCAAGTATACCCATCCGATGAAATCAATTTATTCCATGAGCAGCATTGAAGAATGTTCAAAATTTTGGGTTAGTTAGAAAGTCGTTCCAAATGCTTTGTAGCGACAAATTAACTTACTCAGCGCATGGAAGAACATTGTATCCACTGACGGCATTCTTGTAGATGTTAACGGCTCGTGTGTCCGTACCCTCGACGATATTGATGCAACCGTTGAATCCTTGTGTGTAACGATTGCCCGTGAATCGGTTTATCTCCGGAGCACCACCTGTTTTAATGGAAAAAGCAAAGAACATTGATCAAATCAACTCATTGAAACCAAAAAAAATCGTCCAAATAGAAAAGTCACGACTGCTCACCGATAAAGATGTTGCCTGGCAAGTAGCTGAAGTTTCGGTTGGTTTCGGTTGTTTCGCCATAAACAGAGAAGTTGTCCAGTTCAAGTGTGGCGCGATTACCGTTACGTGTTAGCACGGCAATATGACGAATTCCATCATCAACACGGGTATTTACATTACGGACTGTAGTTTCTTCGCCGTCCAAACGCAACGAAAACTCCAAGTAACCATCAACAATGGCCAAAGCGATGAAATCTTGTCCACTGTACGCTTCAGCTTTGTTTTGTCCGTACCAAACCAACAAGCCATTTGGTTCCTTGGACGAGAACAACAAAGCCAACAAGATATCCTTTTCGTTTGAACTCTTTACAAGAGCCGAGCTATTCAATTCAATGAATCCGTTTCCTTTGTATTGACTAGAAAATTCGATTGGTGCACTGTGCTGGCAAACGTCACCGGTGAAGTGGATTGGACAGTTGCAAATGTATGTGCTGCCTTTGCTCTCGCAAATGCCATTGTTTTCGCATGGATCATGAGCTAAGCAGGCATCAATGATTTCTTCACAATTGTATCCAGCGTATCCAGGCCTACAGTCGGCTTGTACCGGTTGTTCAACTTCAGGCTGTGGAAGAAGGTGATTGAGAATTTGAATAGTTTAGCCTCGTAAAAATCAATATTTTGGATTTTGAAGGAACAAATTTCGTTCAAATTTATCAAACTTACAGCGATTTCATTAGTATCTCCGCAGTTGTGGATGTTAGCACCATCCAACAAGCTCTTGATCATATCGATCTTTTGTGATGAGACTTCCAACTGAAAAATATTTAATTTGTAAGAAAAAAAAATTTGGCATTGTGATTCATTTATATTTATACTCACGCCTGAGATGCAACCATCGAAACCTCTGTTCACTTCAACGCCTTTGTTCAACAATAGACGTTTGTCATAGCCACCAATGTACAAATTAGTCTTCAAGTACATGGTATGAGCTGGGCCAACGGCTTTACCGGTAATTTGTGCTGAGTCGCCAACTTTGAGGAAACCTTCACCGTGTCTGCGTCCAAGTGAAATCTGTGTCCATTTATTAACATCCACTTCTTCATCCGACCGAATGATCACTGGTCGAACACGTCCGCCGGTATTGAATCGGAATTCATAATGTTTGTCTTTGATAACGAGAGCCGCAAAATCGCCATTGGCATGTTCGGATTCGGCCACATACAAAAGAACGCTATCCTGGTTATTCTCTGGTCGTACATTGAATCGCAGATTCAATTTCGTTGATTTAGGTGTTTTGAAAGCGACAAAGCTACCATCCTTGAATGACAAGTTACTTTCATCCAAATGTTCGGTGTATTGGCAACGATCTCCGGTTTTGTTCAATGGACAGAAGCATTCGATTCCAATATCAGTGTTTTCGCATCGGCCAGTTCCGCAAATGCCTGGTGAGCAAGACAATCCTTCAACGGCGCATGTTTTACCGGTGAATCCAGACTTGCAAACGCATGTGAATCCTTCTTCGGTTTGAGTTTCCAAGCAAACGCCATCATTTTGGCACACATCATTAGCGCAGGTTTCGCATGACGTTGTACCTTCAGATGCGATAGCTTCTTGTTTTAGCTCAATTTCACGATCCTTAAGAATCAAGCGGCTGACACAACCAACGAAGCCTTCGTGACTGGCAACAGCGCTAGAGGCAATGTCATTGAAGTTTGGTACACCGCCCAAGTAAAGGTCTTCGAGCAATTCAATGCCTGATCGTTGTGTTGGTGGGAAAGCAACTGGATGTTGATCGTCCACCAATAGGTAACCTTCTTTACGCACTTTGTTCACTTTAACCGTGTGCCATTTCTTCAATTCAATTGGTTTTTCGGCGCGAACGGTTACCGGGCCACTGCCAAAGTCGAAACGGAACTCTGGGTATCCATCGTTTAATGACAATGCAATGTAGTTTCCTTCACCGTGACGTTGGGCATTGTACAAAATCAAACCGTCACCATGCCCTGGATTGAATGTCACCTCGAAGTTAAATCTCATGTAGGAGTTTTCGAGCTTTGGGAAGACTAGATAACTCTTTGGTGCTTGTGGGAAATATGGAATGGCACCAGTTACAACTAATGTGATTGGAATTTCACTGCTTTGCGATCCACTTGATGCGGTACAGATGTAAGTGCCGGCATCTTTAGCCTGAACATTGTCCAATCGAAGGTCGCTCTGGAATTTGAGAGATTTATTGAATTTAGTCTGGGTTTTGTAATCTTGTAAAGACCAAGAAAAGCAGTCAGTATAGGCAAAGCATTCAGAAAAGAGGAAGGAACTTCCTTTAAGGAAGTAAACAGCCTTTTGATAGGTCAAAAATTTCGCGACTCGATACTTACGCTTGTAATGTCCAAGCCAGCGGCAAAGTGACCTTGTTGACGGCTCCAATGGTATTTATTGGCAAATCGGCCTGGATTACAGTTCAATACAACATTCGATCCGGCTTCAGCATGTTCGATTTGTGGTGGTTTGATTTCATTACGAGCTGGTGGAACTTCAACGTTCAATTCGTATTCCGATTCGAAGACTTGACCATCACGAGTTGTGCACACACAAATGTAGCGTCCAGCATCGGCGCTTTGAGCATTGCTGATGACCAATTGAATTCCTTGTTGCTGAAATACGAATGGACATTATTTATTACTTTAGCGTCTTACTAATGATTCCACTGCAATTCCTGCATTTCCAAGCAAGCGCGAGTGACGAAAGTAGACAAAAGTAACAGATATAAAACTTACGCGGAAATTGCTTGGGAGTCGTTGAAAACCTTCTCTCTTCCATGTGACAGTGCTATCGTCGGCTGATGATTTGCAGTCAACAACGATTGAATCGCCTGGATGCAAGTATGATCGGGCTGGTTCCAGTTTCACATACGGGGCCGAAGGAATGAAAGTCTGAGACGCTGTTTTTGGTACAATACAAAAAGAATCGTGTGCAAATCGATCAGAAATGAGTGACAACTGGTGTTAAGTGTTAGCTTTCAATGTACATTAAGAAAACTAACACTAAATTATGCGTTATAATAAAGATACAGGCGGAAAAAAATCAATAAGCATTAGATTAATTGCAGACAAGTCACAAACAGAACATTATTTGCATTAAACCATTCAACAAAATTGCATAAAAAGTTTCAATAAGCTTTGAGATTTTGAATTTACGAGTTTGAGAATATTAACGAGATAAAACAACTTTTATTATACTAAGGCGTACTACTTGTTATCATTTTTTTGGGATTTAAGTGCAGTTTTTCTCTTTATTGAAAGGAAAAAATAAGAGTTAGATTAATACAAACAAATTGTTAATCGTGCTTGGACAAAACGTTAGGTAAAAACAGTTGTTTTCAACATTGATTCTGAATCAGACTAATTCAATCAGTAGAAAGTCAAATGACTTTGCTAGATAGAGAGCTACGGTTAATTATCTAATTACAAATTGTTGATTCTCATATTCACGTTCTATTCAATACAAATTCACTATTGGACACAACGGTTTGTTCTAAGCGAAATACGAATCACTACTTTAAAGATATTACGTTTTTAAGTACAAATGCAGCGAACTACAGTTTCCTCTACTTGTTTGCCTGCTACACTACAGTCGGACAAAATTCAGAGGTAGAAAAAGAGTTTGAATAAAAAACAAGATAAATCTACTTGGATACGTACCAAAAATAAAATACAAAAGAAGCGCTAAATTCGAATTCGCTGTTGCGTTGTAGTTTTTGGGTTATTTTGCTTTAAAAATAAAGTTTTTTTTTTAAATTGGAAAACTACTTTTGCGAGATTAAGCTGAATGAAGCTCATCGATAGACTACATCTTAAATTGATTTTTGTCATACTTCAAAATACCACACAAACACCACGAAAAAAAAGGTGTGGGAATATCGTTCCCATTTCCACAAAATAGAAACAAAACAAAACAGAAAGTAGTTTGAACAAAAAAGAGAACACAACAAAAAAGCAATTTTTGCGATTTCTAAAGAAAGAGCGAATCAGTGAAGTATGAAAAATAGATTCCAAACGAGAGAATTTCGATAAATTTGTGTTTAAAGGCCGAAACGAGTAATTCCAATAGATTGGCTGTATGTTTTTGATTTGTTTTTTTTTTGCTTATTTTTCATACGCCGAGCGAAATCGGAGAAGGTGATGGAGAAGTGAGAGAAGAATGACGTGGAAACAGTACAAATGACAGAGAGCTATGGAATGTGCCGGGAAACCATGTCGAAAAATTTGTCACCCGAAAGCCAAGCAAAACCCACTAAACTTTTAAAAGAAAAAAATGAGTCTTCTTAAGAGAAGAAACATTTCTTTAAAAAGGATGGAAGAAAATTTCGTAGTTTCGATGGAATTCCGAGCGAGAAAAATGTTATGCAAATGTAGAGAGGGGGTTGGTGAAGTCTTGAAAGTGTCAGAAATGTATTTATGAAAGTGTGTTTTAAGACTTAGTTATGATATGTATGTATCTGGCGTCAAAATTTTGATAGAGCATGTTTTTGTTTTTGCTGTTGCTTTTTTTCTGTTTAACAAACCAATGAGTTTAGCCAGTTTGTTTGCGGCCATGTCATCCTTCTTAGTTCGATTCCGTAAACTTGTCAATAGCGAGCAATCCAGTTCGTCGGAGCGGTCGGGACAGTCAAATATGCCATCGCAAACGAGATTGATATCGATGCACGAGCTTGGATCCGATTTACAACTGAATTGATTTGGCCGATTACAGTGTGAAATACTATTCGGATAGCGGGCTGCATGTGCGTATGTGTGTGTTTTGGACCGTTTTTCGGTATAGTTTTTGTTTTTAGAATTGAAATAGTGTGTATGTTGGGCGTGGAAAAACGATGAATCGATGGGACAGTTATAGAGTTTTAATGTGTATAAAAGGTGTCATTTTTTTCAGGGGTTGAATGAATTAAGGATTTTTTTTTGGGTTTGTTCGATGATTGAAAAAGAAAAGAAAAATTTGTAACAGATTAGAATTGAAGACAACAACAAAAAAAAAATCAAAAAGAATTCGGAAAATGATCGATTTGCAGCGAATTTGTTTGTGAATGAGGGCCAAAATGTAGTAAATTATTTTGTGGAATCGATTTTTTTTGTAATTTTTGGTTTTTTTTCTAGTTTCTTTTCGACAACTTTTTCTTAATGAAAATCAAAAAGAAATCAATGAAACCAAAAAAATTGAATTTAGAATTTTCGCATAGCTCAAAATAAGGCAGCTCAAATGAAATTTTGAATTTTTTCCGCTGCTTTTGGGTGGAAAAATTTTGTTTTGGGAAAAAATCAACGAAAAAATAAGAATTTGGATATCAAACAAACTCGCCAATTAAAAAATTCAAATGTTCGCTTAAGTGTAAAAAGTGCTTAAAAACAAAATCGGCGCTTATGATTTAAAAGTGTTGTTTTTTCTTCGTAATTGAAAAAAAATCCCTTCATTGGAATTACATATATCTTTCGCAACTTATCGAATACAAACTGTTGAGTATTTTTTTTTATTATTTTGGTTTCTTGTAAAACAAAATTGTGAACACACCTGTTATTGTTGGGCATAAATATCTAAAAACCATGCAACATAGCTGAATATAGCTGAAACCTCAATATGCGAAAAGCCAAAGAGAAAAAATATGGAGAGCTTTTATTTTGTGCGTTTGGAATGCGAGCTATTTTGTTGTTTTGTGATGTTGCAACAAAAATCGGTCACATTATTTCATTGAAAAAGAAAAACTAAAAAAAAAAATTGAATTGCCTTGTGCGAAATAAAAAGATTAAAATTGAAAAAAATAAAAATTGATCTTTAAAAAACGACAGGAAAAAAAATGTATTGTAAAAACAATTGGAAGTATACAAGAAACAGCACAAGTTCTACGATAATTGAAGTGAAAAAACACTATGATTTCTGATTTTTATACAGGGGATGACAACAAAAATAGACTTTGAACTCTGTTTGTACGACACTGACATAACGAAGGGGAGCGAAACTAAACGAAACGGAACTAAGGACGGCTATATATTTCTATGGGTGTTACAACGCGATACGATGATAACTTTTCATAGATTTTTTTTTAGTCATACTCAAAACACACAACGAAATATTTGTCTACATAGAACAAAAAAAAACCAACGCGATAGTTGCTATTGAACATTTTGTGCAATAATAAATTTTGGATTGTTACTCAACATACGAAAAACATGGTTGGAATGGTTTATAATAAATTGAAAAATGCTTTTGATTGCAATTGAAAAACAATCTTCTTCTGATCAATTGCAATCATGATAATTGCACCATTTCTATCATAATGTTGCTAATGCAAAGCACCTTTTTCAATGTGGTGGGGATGACTTTGTACAAGATTTTACGTAACGTTTTTTTTTCTCACAATAGAAAACAAAACAAAATAAGCATGGGATTTGATAAAGAATAAACGTGGGCTTCAAATTCAAACGCGTTTTATTTGGATTGTGACTTTTTTTTTCTTCTTTTTTTCGGGATCTAATCACTAAAAATGATCTAAAGGCTTATGTTTAGACAAAAAAAAATCCGAGGATTTACAGAAAGTAGCACAAATGCATGCATTTTTTGATCAACATCGAAATATTTGTTGGAAGGATCAATTAATTGGTGTTGGTGGAAAAATATAAAATAAATTATGGAAACGGAAAACATTTTTTCAAGAGAAAGCACAATTTACGATATAAATTTTTGGCACATTAAATACGGATTCATTGGAATTGGGTTGATTTTATTTTTGGAATGTAAGATTCAAATCACAAATAATTAAAAAAATTGTATATTGATTGTGAATCAATGAATATTTACAGCTCAACAGAAACGAAATAAAACGAAAAAAATATTCAAAATAAAAAAAAGCATTTGGGAATGTGTTAATTGAATGTGTGGAATGTTTTAGAACACTTTTGTCGTTTTTTTTTTGTGTGCAAATGACAGTGGATTAGTTAGGCAAATCATGTTTTGCTTTGATATTTTGATCAATGATCACGTTTGGTGCTTTTTTTGGGGAGGGCGGGGGTAGGATCCTTGTTTTTTAAAGGGATTACATCAAAACCAGTGGCGGATAGGATAGTTTGTGTGTGTGTGCGTGTGTGTGTGTGTAATATTTTATGATTTGGTTGGGAATGGGTTTCACGGCCACCGGAAGGTAAAATGTCGTTGGTGCCGACGTCTCGGTTGATACTCACGCTTTAGTACGACGTCCAAATAGTTTTGCGTTACTTGTCCATTTGATTCGGTTTTCTGGCAAATGTAGCGTCCAGTGTCTTCGCTGCGAATGCTATTCAGGATCAAACGGTTGTTGCGGCCAAACGTTGCCGTTGGCGGCAATACACCACCTTCACGTCTCCAATCGAACTGTGGCGATGATGGAAAATTTAATTAAATTTTCGTTCAGTTTTTTTTTTAAATTGTCGAATATCCATAGTGGTGAAAAGTTACGACTACGCGTACCACTACATTTAGTAATTCTCTAAACGTTGTGGTACGCGTAGTCACTACGCTTCAATTCTTTGCGAATATCGCTCATTTCTTTTTTTTAATTTAGACAATTTTCAATCAATTTCCATTAAAAGCGGCCAATTATTTCGGGTGCAACTCCAAAATTGCACGATACAAATTTAAAAGAGCGTATTTCAACCGACATTTCGCATTCCCTGATAAAAACCAATTTTTCTAATTAAAAAAAAAGGTAACCCAATTGTCTTACTCTGGCATCTGACGAAGTTGGTTCGGTACAATCGAGCGAAACCGATTCACCTTCGAGCACTTCTTGTACACGTCCTTGCACCACGCGATCCTGGGGGATTTCGTTGTGATGCACAATCACTTCAGCGGTTTTGGTAACATTTCCGTTAGGATTGGTTGCGGAACAGTAGTAGCGGCCAGCATTGGATGGTGTTATTTGGAAGAATTCCAAGTAGTTTCCAGAAGCTCGTACATTTCTAAATGGGAAATAGAACATTATTTGGCGCTGACGAATGAATTTTATGGTCAAAAATCGATTTTTCGAAGCGAAGCGAAGCGATTTCGGATCAAACCAATCCCGATTCAAATCAATTTTCCATCTTTCGAATGAAATTTTATCTTACTGTGGGAGTGGTCGATGGTCTTCATTGTGCCATTCAACGTAAATTGGTTCATCACCAGTGGCATTGCAGAGGATGTATACGCGTTCACCACTTCGTACGGTTAATGGCATTTCTGGGTACAAGGTAATCCTTGGCAATTCTGTGGAGAACAATCAAACAGTTAGTTGGTTGGTAAACAAATGGCTTTGTCTTCGTTGAAGATCTCTTTCAAAGGAACACTTAGCTGTCTGCTTTGAGGGCTCATTACCAAAGTTACAAAAAAAAGTTGTGTATGCCATGAATCAATAAGCTTACCAACAACAATGAGTTCAGTGGTGACAAGTGGGTAGTCGCCATGTACTTCGTGCACAATACATTCATAAATACCAGCTGCATCCTTTTGTGTGTAGTTCATAATCTGTAAAAAAAAGTTCAATTAATTAATCTAAATATATTTTTACACACAAATTTTGAACATGTTGATGAAAGGCGCAATTTTTTGATCTTGTTTTTGTTATCTAACTGAAGAGACCAGTTAAATATAAGAAGAAATTGCACTAAAATTGAACAGTTAAAAAAACTTGATAAACATTCGAATCGTTACAAGTTCTTCCAATTTTTTTTAAAGAAAATCGTTAATCAAAAACTTAAACAAGGACATACCAAATCACCGCCAGAAAGATGTGAGCCTCTTGGTAATGGTTGACCATCTTGACGTCTCCAAGATGTGCGTCGGTTATAGTTTTCGATTTGACATGAGATTTTTGTGCTGTCGCCTACGGCCACTTTGTATTGCTGTGGGCGATTTTCTGGCCTATAATCTGGACGTTGAGTATTTTGACGATAGTCAGGTCTGTACGGTGGTTGTGGACGTTGTTCGTTAATTTCGTCTTTGTCATGCGAACCTTGATTGAAATAAAAATGAACGATTATTAGAGGCTCGCTAACGCTTTCAATGGGTAAAAAAAATGAAAAAAAAAATTAGCGATATGATCGATACCTTTCCATCGAAATCTAACTATGTTAAGCAGCATTATGAAAAGGAAATGATTCATTTTACAATAACATGTTTTTGGCTTGATGTTAGAAAATTTCATTTTTATCATTCTAGCCAAAGCCTGAACGGTATCAATCTTATGATATTGTATTGAATGGGTTATTAAACTTACCAACATCGCCACGTTTCTGTTGAACTATAACGGTGATGTACTTTTGATCTTCGCCGGCTTCGTTTCTAGCATGGCAAATGTATGTGCCCTCATCACTGCGATCGGCATTGTATTTTTGAATCAAGCTTTGAGATGCTGAACCAATTGGAGTTGGTGCTCCTCGTGAAAAGGTATCTTCAGATTGTATTTGCTCGGGTCGTTTCCATTGTACTGTTGGTGATGGTTCGCCTTCGGCGAAACATTCCAGCTTCAATTCATCGCCTTCAGTGATAGTCCATTCTTGTGTTTCGGGCAAAATGCGAATGATTGGTGGTTGTTGCACGTGAATGGCTGACGTTTGGCTTGATTCACCGGCAATATTTGAGGCACGGCATTCATATTGTCCAGCATCTTCGAATGTAATGTTCGAAATCAAAATAGTTCCAGCGTATTTCTCTTCAACACGGCTTGAAAGTGGTCGGCGATCTTGACGTGACCAAACCACAGTTGGTGTTGGAATACCGGCAATAGCACGACAGCTCAACATTGCTGATTCACCCACACGAACGGTTTGTGGGTCACGTGGATAGATTTCAACGACTGGTGCCTCGCGTGCTGTGAAAATGATATGGAAATTAGTTTGTTTGAGTTTTGAAATAAAAAAAAATGGAAAAAAATTAGGAAAATCAAAAAAGTTGAAATAAATCGACATTTAAATTGTACAATTGCTCAAAAATTACCGATTCCCTTTTTGAAATCTTGAACGAAAGACATGCGAAATAAATTCAAAGCACATATTCAACTGTTGAACAGATTTGTTTTCAATTATTGCTTTGGCAATCAAAAAAAAGATACTTACGTTCAATATCGATAACAGTGCTGGTTTCGGTGGATTGTCCATTCGATGTGACTGTGCATTGGTAAATACCGCGATTGTGTGGTTGAGCGTTGATAATTTTCAAAATGTTGCCAATTTGTTGGCAATTCGATGCGAGATCTTCATGAATCTTAGCCCAGACAACGGTTGGATATGGATAGCCAGATGCTTCACAAGTCAAACTAAAATCGGAGCCTTGAACCACAGTGTACAATTCTTCAAGTGGTTTTACTCTTGGTGGTTCCAATTGTCCAGTTGAACTGTCAGTGATGACAACGTCGATCACTTCCGAAGATGTACCAGGTGGTTGATTTGGTCCTGATGGTGATGATGTACAAGTGTAACGACCGCTATCTTCAACGCGTACGTTTTCAATGGTGAGAATGCCGTTTTTGACATCAATATGAGCTGGCAATTGTTGCTCTCCAGCCTTATTCCAAACCAATGTAGCATAGACATTTATACTGTTACGGCAAGTCAAAACAAGAGCATCGCCTGGACGACCATGGAAGTTGCCTGGTTGAATTGAAACTTCACGACCGGGCTGTGGCTGTGGTGGTGGTCGTGGTGGTGGATTTGATTCACGAACATAAACACGCAACACGCCGCTATCATCACCATATTGATTACGTGCGATACATTGGTAGTCACCGGCATCTGAACGACGAACTTGATTGAATCGAAGCCATGGTCCCGAAATGTATGCGTCTGGTGATAGCTCTCCATCCAATCGAGTCCAATAGAATGTGACTGGAGTTGACGATTGTGCAACGCACTCAACATCAGCTGGCGAATATTCGTTGACATCGAGATGAGTTGGACGTAATTCAACACGTGGCTTGCTGACAGCACCTCCACCTGAATTGGATTTATGAAAAGAGTTTTTTTTTTAGAATAAATTGTTTACTTTGAATATTTTAACGAATTTTTGTAAGAAGAATTGAGCAAAATTGAAATTAACTCAAAATGAAGCGCTTGTCTAAACGCAACTTAATATCAGTTGAACATGCCAAATATTAACGATGATATAATAATAAACCGATGGGAAAATTGAATCAAAATTTTCATTTAAAAATTAGTTATTAATTTTAACCTTTGAGAACAGATTTTTTAAATTCCTCCGAGAATGCTTTGCATTAAAAGTTGGAAGATAAAGAGATTTTTATTAGTTTAAAATGTTTTTTGCTAAGTTTTTCGCGTTTTTCATTCAAATTGGAAAGAACACCGAAAGTCGCTACTGAAGGAATTGAACTACGCATTTATATTGTATGGGAGAATTCACTCATTTGCGTCCTTCTTTGTGGGAGTTCCAATTTGAATCAGAGATTTGAATGAGATCAAAATGAATTGGAATCAACTACAGGTGTGCCCCGATTGTTTCAACCGTATTTATGCTTTGTTTGTCTTCATAGTTACAACCAATTGGTATGGATAAGGTATCCATTACCGGAGGTTGAAACAATCGATGCCCGTCTGTATTCATGGAATCAATTTAGTTCGACATATTGAATTTTCGAAGAATTTTTCCTACCTCCAACAGTGATTGTAACGCGTTGTTCGAAGCGTTCATCAGTTTGTGCTTGACAGACATAGACACCGCTATCAACATGTTGAACATTTGTGATTGTAAGAACGCCATGTTCTTGGTATGATCGCTCTGGAAGTGATCCATCGGCCTTCTTCCAAACAACTGTGATTGGAACCTAATGGAAAGAGAAATAGTAGTTATTGAAAAAAAATACAATAAAAAATAAATTTTCAATATTAAAAGTATTTTGATAATAGTCATTCACATAAAATCTTTTAATGATTCAATTTGATTCAAATAAATAATTTTAGAAATGTCTTCTTTTGAATTTCATTCATATAAAAGTTATCTTACGCGTTGAATGTTGTGATATGCTGTACATGGCAATCGAACAGTCTCTCCGACTTCGATGATTTGAATAACTGGTGATGAGATCACGACCGAAATAGTTGGTGGAACTGGGCGTTGAGTTGTAACTTGAGTATCGTAGTCTTGGAAAATGTAAATAAATATCTTTAATATTCGATTTTTCTATTTGATTAGGTATATTTCGTCCACAATTTGTTATTTAATTAGTAATAAAATATTCGATGGAAAAAATGTGTTATTAACGATTCAAAATAAATGGATTAGTCACGGTTCGGGTAAAACGAATGATTTTTTTTTGCTAATAAGCGAATTCGTTTTTTTAGAGTGGTTGATTTTTTTTCAAAATATTTTTTTCGTGGAATCGATCTGGATTAGATCATGAAATTTGAATGGAAAAATAGATAATTTTCATGGAAAGGTGGACAAAATGGGAATTTCGAAATCAAATGAATATTTTGATACAAAAACATGATTCAATGTAAGACTAAAATATTTGTATTATGATATTTATACGATATTTGTCTTCACCGACCCTTGTTTGCTTTAAGGGACATATAATCATTCGTCGAACAAAAAATGCATGCAATTATTATTTTTTCATTTTCTTTTATCATACACTCCACTGCCGTGAGCAATTTTTCCAAGACTATATGTGTTTTCTAGCTTAAAATTTCAACTAATTCAATGTATGCAAGGTTTCATTCACAGCTAGATTCCATTGATAAATGGAACCATTTCTCAACTCAAACATACAATGAATTTAGAAACATAAATCCATTGAGGAAAAAAATATTCACGGCTAAATATGTACAATATGAGGAGTAGTTTGGTTCTGACTCAAATCGGAAGTATTTTTTTTTTAATTTCTATCGAAATCAACTTTTGAATTTTACTACCTTTAAAAGTCATTCCAAAATCTTTTTTTAATTACAAAAAAGCACAAGGATTCGAAGGACGGTTCACAAAGACAATTGTGATTGAATATATACAAATCATGTTCTAAAATTCAAACATGAAAGAAAATAGCAATTTCTATACACACACGTAGAGAAGTAGAATTGAAAGAGAAAAAAAAACTGTGTTTGAACCTGGCACTCTTCGTAATTCGCCGATAGCTTTGGTTCCTTTTGAATCATATACTTTGTATGACTTTTGATGATCATTAACCGAATGGAAAATGTATAACATATAGTCATACACAGAATTTGTGTTCGATTCTTTTGCACGATGCTCATAATATTTGCTTGCTACATTTCAATTCGTTTCGAAGGATGAGGGGATTTTTCAGGGTTTAGAAAAAATCGATGATAATTAAATTCAAATGAAAAAAGAAATGGGAAAATGGTAAATTAAAGTAAAAAAAAAATTATAAAAATGATAAGTTAAATAAAGAAAACTATTAGGAAAGTGATAAATATAAAAAAATATTAAAAATGAAAAATAAAAAACCAGGAAACCAATGGATGTTTCAATGCAAAAATGCTGTGAGGAAGTTAAATGAATGCAATTGTTTCGATATAGATTGACATACCAGTGCATCTGTCTCCAGCATATCCCGGATGACAGTGGCAAAGAACGTTTCCATTGCTTTCCAATAAGCATGAGTCGGCATTTTCACATGGGCATCGGCTGCAAGTGCCCAAAAGTCCGGCGGTACGGTTGTTTGTGTCACGGTAGTAGAAGTGGTCGCAAGACTGAAAAAACAAATTTTTTTTACCTTAATCAAAAGGGCTTCAGATTTTTTGGTCTATGCTATGGCTTCTTGATTCATTTTGAAAATTCAAAACATAATTTCGATGAAGAAAACGAAAAAAAAAAATCGTTCCCATTTAACTTACCTCACAGCTTGTACCAGTGTAGCCTTCTGGACAACGGCAAATTTCGACATCATTAACTGGTATTTGACCGGTGTTTTGTGGGACGGCTGTATCAAGAACAACATCACTCAAATGCACCTGTGAAACTCCCTCTTTCAGAGTGGCACGCACCAAAACCGTTTCCAAATTGCTCAAAACGGTGAGTAAATCAGCGCGTGAAGCAACTCTTGGGCCTCCTTGATCGATGCTTTGCCAGTCCGATTCCTTGATGTGAGCTTCGGTTCGGTTTTCATTTGGATTGGCACGAGTCCAAACCAAAGTCAATCCATTACCGCGAATAATGATGTCTTGATCTGGAATGTATGTGCCATATGCTTCGTTTTCAATGGAGAACGACAAATATCCGCCATAAGATTTGAGCTGATTGCCCAAGAAGCGTTGTGGAAGGCTCCAATAGTAAGTGTTACCATCGTAAATACGGTTTGACAGTTTGTTGGTGGCAAAATCGATGACTGGCTCTTCTTTCGATTGAACATCACCGATACGGTTGGTGAGTGGGAATTTGTCATCGAAAATGATGGCTGGAATTTGTTGACGATACAAACGTGAAGCTGAGCATGAGCGTGTTGCACCCGAACAGAAGCATTCAGTGCATCCAAGTGGATTGGCTGGATCCAAGTTGTAGGTACCTGGACGGCATTGGTCACAGCGATGGCCGATTACATTTGGCTGTAATTTGAATTGGATTAATTTTGGTTTGCAAAATCTAGATTTCCAAACGAATAATTTGTGTCGAAGACTGTGAGTGTTCTTACTGGGCATTGGGTGATTGTTCCGTGTCCATGAGATTCATCGGTTGAACAATCGTATGATGTTCCACGAGTTGCGTCGCCTTCGAAACCACCGGCGCATCGTTCACAATGCTCACCTTCGGTATTGTCACGGCAGTTCTAAATGGCACAAGCAAAAAATATGAAAAGAAATTAGTAAGTGAACGTCTTCTTCACTCTTATAGACTTTTCCAACAGCTTGACTTACATGGCAAACGCCATTTTCGGCATCGCATTCATCTGAATGTCCGTTACAATCGCATGGTTCGCACAAACCCAAGTAAAGACCACTTTGGCTGCGTTTGTAGCCAGGAGCGCAATCTTCACAACTGGTACCTTGATGACCTGGTGGACATATACATTGTTCAACTTCCGAGGCACGGGCTGGATTTCCAGTGTAGTGTGAGCTGGCCGTATCCAAAATGACTGAAGACAAAGCGGCTTCATCAGTTGTGGTCGTGTATGTTGCTTTGATGAAAATATCCGATACATCGGCCAAAGTCATGAGCAAATGTTCACGATTGATTGTATTTCCATCGATACGTTGCCAGTTCTCTTCCAAAAGTGGTACAACATACGATTGTGAAATGCTTGGGGCGATTTCATCGCGACGATAATGCAAAATGGTGATATCGTTCAAACTGCGAATGACCACATCGGGTGCGTTGTTTCGTGACATAATACCACCAGGTGTTGGCACATATCGAATGGTGTAGTTGAGATTTCCACCATACGATGTGATTTTGTTACCGGCAAAACGTGATGGCAAACGCCAGAAATAAACATCTGGATCACCAGCCAAATTTTGAATTAAAACTTCATTGTTGTATGTGCTAACCTCAAGATCACTTTCTTGTGGACTTTCGAAATCGGTAATCAAAGCGAATTCATGACGGTTCGGGGCGAATGTAGCGACAGTCGAGTCTCTGTACAATGAACTGCTGGTACATGTTTGGCTCACACCGTTACAGAAGCATTGAATGCATCCGGTACTCCATCTTGGACTCAAGAAGAATGAATGGATTGAGCATTGATCACAGCGGGCGCCAGCTACATGTTCTTTACATTCGCAACGACCATCTGGGTGTTGACGAAGTGTTCCGCGTGGGTCACAGTGTGAAACTGGTGGTTGTTCGGCTGAGCATGAACCGCCTGGCAACAATGGATTACCGACAAATCCTTGAGCGCATTGTTCGCAACGACGACCAGTGTATCCACGGTTACAATTGCAAACTGGTTCACCATCTGGACCCAAGTAGCACGTACGGGCAAAGTTATTTCCACTGGTTGTTGATGGACATGGGCATGGCTGTGGATAAAAAAGATTGCAAATTAGAATGGCGTCAAAGTTGAAAATTACTCAAGTACTCACTTTGCATGGAATCTTTCGGTATGGATCGCCATAAGTTCCTGGTTGGCATGGTTCTTCATCACGAATACAACGGCCTAACCAAGCACCGCTTTCTTGACGGGTATATCCAGGTGCGCAAGACTCACAGCTCAAACCTGAGTAACCAGCCGGGCATCGACACTCTTCGACAAGTGATGCAGATCCAAGACCTTGATCGGTGACAGCGGCTGAATCCATTACAATGTGCAACAATTCAACTTCACGTTGAACAGTATCGATGTATTGCAATCGAATCAAAACATTTTCCACTTGAGCCAATGTCATCATGATTTCTTCACGTGAAGCCAAACTTCCATCAGGTTTGTACCATTGACCCGGTACAAACGAAACGGATACTGAATTACGAATACCCTCTTCGATAGGGTTTGGACTGCGGTAAACCAAGATTTTATTATTACCCTGAAATTATCAAAAATTCACATTAAATACATTTCAAAGTAGGAAATTGAAGGTGTCATCAATTAGGAAGCATCGTTAAGCAAAAGTAACAAAGAAAAAACTGATGTCACAAGCTCAATCAAAACTAAAATCGAACTCACCTTAATGATGACGTCTGGTGCATCATTTGAATTGCCACGTCCGCTATATTCAACGTCGTATTTGAATGTGCCACCGTATGATTTCAATTGATTGCCCAGATAATCGCTTGGGAGTGCATAGTATGGCAATTCACCGGACACCGGTAAATTGGTCAATCTCAATTGAACGCCATGGCGTGTTGCGAGCAAATCGTGTTTATCAAACATGTTGTTGATGCTAATCGATTGTTGTCCAGCCCATGGGCCATGCACACCGACCACTGTAAGCGATGTTACCGGTGGTGGAAGGGCATATGTGAACAAATCGGCACTTTTACATGCCGTTGATGCACCGAAACAGAAGCAATTGATACATTCTTCGGGTCGACTGGCTTTGTCGTTGAAGAATCCATTTGGACAAACTGATTCTTCGCCGGTTACGGTTAAAATGGTGTCTGGAACAACAAATTCAGTGCCTTGGCTGTTGAGCAATTCACAAGAGTAGGCACCAGAATCTTCGACAGCGATATATGGACAAATCAAAACACCGTATCCATTGTGGGTGGTGGTGGTACATTTTTCTGGGATATGACCCCAGTTCAAACGCCACAATACCAAAGGTGTTGGAACACCGACAGCGCGACATGAGATGTTGAATGTTTCCCCTGGTCGCAAGTAAACACTTGGTGGTGGTGGTTGAGCAACGGTCGGTTTGGTGCAGCCAACTTCATCAGATCCGTCGAAACAATCAACGTGAGAGTCACATTCGAATGATTTTGGAATGCATTGACCGCTTCGGCATTGATATTCACTGGCAGTGCAGATCGAGCCTGGTGCAGCGGTTCCACAACCTTGTTCGTCAGAACCGTCTTCGCAATCATTTTCGCCGTCTTCGCGCGCAATCGTTTCGTCATGGATTGGATTAGATGGAGAGAGAAGAAAAAGAAAATCAATATGTAATACAGTGAACAGTGCATCGACGATAGTCTAAAAATGAATCAAAATGAAAGTTCAATCGGGCCAACGCAATACTTTACAAAAGAAGGAACGATTTGAGCAAAAGATGCAGTTTCAATAAAAAAATGACGATCAAAAGCAAAACTTGAGGCAAACTAAGATGAAATTCAAATAATCCCTATGAAACACAAACTCACCGCATCGCCATGTTTTCAAAACACATTTGTTGTTGCCGCATTTGAATTCGTTTGGTTGACAACGTCCGTTATCAGTGCAGCTAGATTCATCTGATCCATCAGCACAGTCGTTGCGGCCGTTGCAAAGTGCACTCTTAGCAATGCACTGGCCATTCATACAGGTAGCCTCGTTCACTGAACAGGCTGATGGTGGCCGAACCCATATTGGATCGCCTATGTGAAAAACAAACAAAAATTAATACCCAAATTCACAGCATATTTCAATGGGTTAAACAGTTTTTTCCTCTTGACTATAAAATTGAGAACCGCTTGCGGTTTCCCGATTAAAATTGAGAGAAATTAATTACCCGATGACATTCGTCACAAAAATCATTATAGTGAGAGCGTGTAAAAAGACACAATTTCAGGATTAAGTTTTTTAATTAAATTTCAATAAGGTCAAGTTTTTTTCTTACTGACTTGAACTTGTTTCAATCAAACTACTTCAACAGACCTGGGCTAAAAAATTCGAAACCGATATGCGGAACAGTGCCGTACTTGATTTTTTTATTCGGTCTCATAAAATCGTATAGAATCCATACTTTTGTGTGCGTGCAAAATTTGTTTGGAATGATTAATAATTGACATTGAGTGGATTTATTCATTTTTTGGTTTGTTTAATTTCAATTTATATCGTACTAAGACATTTTCTACTGAACGTTCATTTTTTCCACAATTTTTTCGAAAGATAATTCTTCAGTTGTTATTATTGGAATGTAATGCAAAAAGACTTGCATGAAAAAGCTTAATGTTCAATAGACAATGGTTTAATAAATCATTGGTTTATGTCTAGTTAGTTTAGTCGATGAATTAAATTCGAATACTTACGACGTTCAACTTGAAGTGTAACGCCTACTTGTGCACCAGGTGTTGATGGTGGGACACCGACAGCTTCGCAAATATAATCACCAGAATGTTCCAACTAATGAGGCAAAGAGGAAATTGAAGTAAATGTTTGGACATTTCAATTTTTATGAATAAAAAGTTTAAATATTTGGAAAAATCTAAGAAAACTCGGATAACTATTAAATTCATATTATAATTAAATAAAACTAAATGAAATAAAAAAAAAATAAACAAAAATCCCCGGTTGTCGAGAAAAGACTCTGAAATGTTGAAAAAAAGAAATGGAATTTTTCTTTTTTACTTACTCGAATATTCGGGATTTCCAAACGTCCAGCAACATCTTTTGAGCCGAGTGGCAGTTGACGACCACCTGATCGAGTCCATCGAACTGGCAAACGTAGCGCACCTTCATCACGACATTGAAATACAACTTCCAAGCCTAAAAACAATTCAATTTCAATTTCAATTAATAATTTTGTAAATTGCATTATTTTTCCTTTTGTTCAATGATCGTCTTCATGCGTTGAATTGAATTTAAATAAATTTTCACGCACAAAGTGTTTTTTCAAAAAAAAAAAATGAAAAGAATGATTAAATAAAAAAAAACAAGAATAATTTTATATATTTTTTTGGAATTATATTTGGCATCATTTATGAATAAAATGAGCAAATTCTTTGAAAATCATTTGTGGCGAAAAGTAAAACAAAACTTTATTTGAAATGGATGAAAAGGAAAACAAAAAGAAACATTCAGGGGAAATATTCCCTGACATGGTTGGTTCATTGCAGGAACATCAATAATTTCGGGGCATGCATTTATAGTATTAAATCGAATCAGATGAAATTGTTAGTACGTTGGCATGCATATTTCGATAGAGATTACAGCCACACTTACCCTCACGAATATATCCTTTTTTTTCGTGTGATTAGCATTGAAATTAATGGTTAAATATTGTAGTAAGAAAGAGTTTAGAATCAAATTATTATTATATTAAACACATTATTATTGGAGAGAATTGTTGGTTGTAGTCAGTGGAAAAGAGAAGCATTAGAGGTAAAAGTAAACAAGTACTCGAGAAAAGAAATAAGACATTAGAATTTTGATATATTTGAGAACACGTTGACTTACTTTCTTTGATAGTTTGATTGTTTGGATAGGTCTTCAATTCCACGCGATGAACTCCAGGCAGTGGGCTGGGTGGTCGTTGAGTTGCTGTAAATGAAATTCATACCAAAATTAATTTTTTTGAACATCAATAGCCCATTATTTACCAATCGATAGATTTTTCATACAAAATGTTCAACATTTCGAACAGTCGATAAATAATGGGTTGAAATTAGCAATGATTATTAATGATTTTCGAACAAAAAAAAAATGGGTTTGAGTAAAAAGTGGAATGTAAATTGAATTATTCTCTTAAATTAGTCTAGATTCAATTAAATCTGGAACATAAATTAAATCAATAAATTATGGTGTGCTGCACATTTACGTCCTGAATGTTAGATGTGCGACTGTTGACCGGTTAGTCCATTAGAAAATTGTCGGAGTTGGGAAAGGATTGTTGTGTTTTTAGTTGGTGTGCTCGATTTCGAGTAGGAGACAGAGAGATAGAGTGACTTACTATTTGTATCTTGGCAATCAAGTTCGTCGCTTGTATCATAAGGACAATCGTTTGCACCATTGCAACGCAATCGTTCATCGATGCACGGCCCATTTTCGCATCGAAACATATGCAAAAGACACTCTGTGCCAACATCTTCCTCCTCTTTTTATGTGTCAAGAGAATGTTTTTTTTTTCGTTTTTGGGTTTTTTTTGTACAATTTGAGCCGAAAAATTTTTGTAGAAATGTGGAATTGCCGATGAATGATGAATTTATATGAACAAATGAAAATTGAATAATAATTACACGTAATTTTGAAATTGGGCTCGTTAAGAGCCAACGCGATTTTTGAATGGGAATAGAACATATGAAAAGCTCAATGGAATGAAACAAGGCATTTAGAGAGAAATTATACACTTACGGCACCAACGTTCGTCCGAGTAATCTCTGCAATCATAACGTCCATCACAATAAGCCTTGGCAAGGATGCAATCTCCATTGTTACATTGCCATTCACCGGGGCGGCATCGACCTTCTAACAAAAACAAAATCGAAACAATAGACTCATATTCACTTGTTGTAACGCATGACATTCATGATCCATGAATGGAACACAAATATGATTGGGATAAGAAGCACAAAAAGAGGAGAAATAGAACAAAAAAAGTCACACTTACTTGGATGGCACACTTCAGGTGACTCATCGGATCCATCTTCGCAATCACGTCGGCTATCACATTTTTGTTGACCATGAATACATTGTCCATTTGCACATGTGAATTCATCATCTCGACACACAATGCCTGCATTTTCATTTCGACGAAAACCAATTAAATTGTGTTTAAAGCAAAATTTGAATGAACGCTAAACGATTTCCATATGGTGAAACGTGCAAGTAAAGCCAAATGTGTTACATGCAATCGGTTAAAAAACGACAGGTTAACCAAGGTGTTTCAGTTGAATTTTTGAATTATACACTATAATTTCAACGGGATTAGATTTTGGATTTTTTGGATTTTTCAGTACAAAGTTTTACCTAAAAAAAATCCTAATTCTAATCCATTTCAAATTATAGTGTACGTGAAAATGGAAAGAGGAAAAAGATTACATCGAAAGTACAGTAGAAAAATAGTAAAAAAAAACAATTACAACAACTATTCTTGCAGAGAACAATATTCGCAACTCTGAAGACTTGAGTTTGAAATAAAGCAAAGCGACATAGAATTGACACCCAAAGAATGAAAGAACAACTTATGAGCTCTTTATCCATAACTGAGACGGAAATAAATTAGAGCAAAAAAGAGACAAATAAATTTGCGAGCAAAAGTGACACAACTCAGCATTGAGTGGAAAAGAAGTTTTTTTTTTGCATTTTTCTCGTTACTGGAAATAGATAGCGACTAGGTGTCTTCGGCTTATTTGTATTTCTTTTTATTTTTTACAATAATGCCGAAGACACCTCGTCTCTATCTCTTTTCAGTAGTGAAAAAATGCAAAAAGAACTTCTTTTCCACTCAATGCTGAGTTATGTCACTCTTGCTCGCAACTTTATTTGTCTCTTTTTTGCTCCAAGTTTTTTTCCCGTCTCAGTTATGGATAAAAAGCTCATTAAGGCCTTTTATCTGATTGACAAAGCAATAAGTTGTTCTTTCATTCTATGGATGTCAATTGGTTTCTGTACATTTTTGAAAGGGTCATCTTCTGGGTCATTTTGTTTCAAAGAAAACATCAAAACGGGTTGAAAAACGAAATAAAAAAACGAACAACGTTAAAAAAGACAATAATTTGAGGAAATTTTTCAAAAAAAAAAACATTCAATTGTTCAAATTGAGAATATTGAAACAGAAAAGAAATTATTTCGAAGATAAAAAACATTTTCTCAAGTTATAAAAATTCATGAAAAGGTCTCAATTTTCCGATGGTTGTCAAAGGAGGAATTAAATTTTCTACAGTATTGAAAAAAATATTTACAAAAAGCTAATTTTTTCGAAGCAAAATACATAATTGCCAAACGATTACTAAACTATGTCTAAATTAAGCTGAGTATAGGCCTAACCGAAGCAGTTTTGTTCATCAGAAAAATCCTTGCAGTCATAAAATCGGTCACAAACCAATGTTTTGTTGATGCAATTCAAATCGAAGATGCATAAAAATTCGTTATCCGAACAATATCCTTTGTGGTTTTTTGTGTTTTTGATAATAAATTTGGTGCCACAAAAGATATGATTGTGTCAACAGGTGAGACAGTGAAATATTTAGTGCGAACAGTGAGTGTTTTTTTTTCAAATGTTTAGTTGAAGTATACATTTAAAGAAGAAGCAGTGGTAGAGTGTGAGAAAAATAGAATAATCCTGTGAGTTAAATTGCGTGAATTTGGTGCATTTTTGAGAATTTTTGTTTTTTTAAGAATAGAAATTGTTGAAATAGAATTAACTCACGGCAATTAAGTTCATCGGTACCGTCGCGACAATCTCGAACACGATCACATTGCTTTTCTTTTGGCAAGCAAACGTTGTCATCGCATTTGAATTCATTATCGGCGCATTGAGTTGGTGGTGCTGAAAATGAGAAAATATTGAAATATTAAATTTTAGCTAAAAAAATCTTTTAAGTGTTTCTATCGGGATAATTCGAGCACCGCGGTACTCTTCGATCAATAAAATCAAACAAAAATAGTAAAAAAGGTAAAAAACAATTGTTGAGAAAGAAAAAAAATCGAAGAGAGTTCAACTAACGTGGGCATCCGTATTCATCGTAACCGTCACTGCATTCGGAAATGCCGTTGCATCTATCGGCTATACCAAAGCAAGATTTGCGATCTGGGCAAGTGTACTCTGGGCAAGAAATCTGTAAAGAAATGATTTCGAAGAAGGGAAAACATTTAATTATCCATTTCGGTATGAAACAGCGAGCATCATGACAAAAAAAGAACTTACGTCTGGTGTTTGTGTGGTAATGGGGGTGGTGGTGGTGGTGGTGGTCGTAGTTGGGCAATTGTATTCATCGCGACCATCAGAGCATTCGTATTCACCATTGCAAAGGATGGATCTCGAGTGGCATTGGTTATCACATTCAATTTCATCTTCGCGGCAAAGTGGAGCTACACGGTTGGAATAGAGTAAGACAAAAATTAATTTTGAAATGGGTAATTAAATGCGTTGAACATAGAAGACAGAACACTGTTGAGCGCCCTTCGTATTGTGAGGCTTCTGTTTCAATTCAGAAGAAAAACAAAAAAGAAATATGATGAAAAGTGCATTTTATGTGCATAGCAAAATGGGCAACAAGCAGACATACGCTACACATAGATATAATAAATCAGCTAAAACATATAACAAAGTATGTACATTGTACAACATTTAGATAATAAATACATTTGGTGGTATTCTGGTAGTTAAACCTTACCCGTTGCTTCATTTTTTGCTACGTTGTTAAAGGTTTTTCCTCTCTTCGCCACGCACACAAAGTGTGTGAACGGCATGAATTTATACATAACCTAAGTGTATGTGCTGTGGACTGTTTGTTTACACTTTACCTTGTGGACCTTGTGGGCCCTGTGTCGATCCACAAACGCTTCCTTCATCGGAAGAGTCCGTACAATCGTTCGTTCCATCGCAAAGAAATTCTTCATTAATGCAATTTCCATTATCACAACGCCATTCATTATCACCGCATTCCGTTGGTTTGGCTATAGCATACGACAATTTATTTTTGTTTAAAACATAGACACATAAATATATAACAATAGCATCAATTTTTTTTTACAGACAGCAAACAGACACAAATCAGTTTGCATAGGATTTTTTTTTATGTCGGTTTTTGCAATACAAACATGCGGTGAATGAAAAAATGCGGTCGATTTTGAGCGCAATAACAAACATAAATATGAACATAAAAATGTGGAAAAAAATGAAGAAAAAAAACACAAACAAAAATTAAAAACTACAAAAATTATGCAAAAATGATTTGATTTTACAAACACAACAATGTCAAAAATGAGAGAGATGATTCTTGTTTTGCTTAGTTCATTGTTGATCTCGCAATTAACATGCTAAAACGTTCAAGTGTATGAGCTTTTTAATCACTAACGCAAATCAACTATGCAAAATTCGGTGGACAAGGGATAGAATTTAGTTCGCGCTTGTTGAGTGTCAATTTACATGCATTTTGCGTTAATTTTTTTTGCTGGTTTTGTATGAGCATACCAATGATTTTATTGTCATTGCCAATGTCGTTATCGTGACAGTGTAACTCGTCGGTGCCGTCACTGCAATGCCTGATGTTATCGCATAAAAGCTGCTTTTTCACACATAGACCATCGCCACAGCGAAACTCGTGCGCATTACATGAATAAGCTGAACAGAAAAACACATTCAATGAATATACCAAAAAAAAAACGGGTATTGAGACAAGCAATTTGGACAACATTGCATCAATATGAGGGTGCTACAATTCCACTCTGCTTTTTTCTACTATGTAGTGTTTTTTTTTTGATTGAAGTTAGTATCTTGTGTTCTTTTTGAATTAGTTGAATTTTTCGGTTTTCAAATTTTGCAGTCCAATTTGACGAGTTAATTGTTTATAAACATAAGATATAAATATCTTTCCCAATTTCGATAAAACCAAATCATTTCACTCCAAAATAATCGATCCAAAAAGGTCATGCTTAGATAAGAATAAATCACCCTTCAAAATTATACGTGAATTTCCCAATGATGACTTACCGCAATGGATTTCATCGCTAAGATCGGCACAATCGTGTATGCGATCGCAATGCTGTGTAGCCAATATGCAGTCACCATTGTGACATCTGCGATTCGGTTAGCAAATATTGAATTTTTGATGTGAGAGAGAGAGAGATAAGCGACGAGATGCATAATGAGACATAAGAAAAGGTGGGACAATTAATTAACATTTTATTGGACGAAATATTTGGGGCTGAAGTAAGGAGTGTTGGACATTGGCCAAGGTAAGTGTATCTTACTGAAAGGTTCCCGGTTGGCATGATGGGCATTTTAATTCGTCGCTACCATCCAAGCAGTCCTTGTGTCCATCACACTGAACTTCACTGTCAATGCACAGGCCGTTGCTGCACTGAAACTCGTGCTCAGCACAAGGTACTACGTGAGAAATTGAGATGAAGTGCTGTCAAGTTGGATAATTTAAGAAACGAGGTGGGAGAGGTTGTGAAGTGTTAGATTGTGGAAGATTTTTTAGTTTAGTTGGATTGAAATAGGTTGCACAAAAATGGATTTGATTGGCAAATCCATGAAAAGGTATTAGTTAGGTAAAAGTAAGAGAATTCGTCGCGTAAGCGACACTTGTTGCAAAGAACCCATTCTTGCTCAAAGAAGATCAATAAGAATAGAAATTTGTTTTGATAAAAATTTCGAAAGATTTTTTGTTCAAGGGATTCTTTCCATTTTGGAGTTAATTGGGAGAATAGAACGTTAGCACGGGAAATTTCCAATTTCCATTGGAAATTGAACTTTGTTCAAAAAAAAAGAGCCAATTGAAATTATTTGCTCTATTTCCATTGGAATTCAGGATGATTGGATGTTACTTTCAAAGATTGGAATTGTGTATGAGTCGGAGGAGAGATTATTACGAGTGCACCAACCTTCGTGAACATTATCACACTCTTTTTCGTCACTGCCATCCAAGCAGTCCACTACATTATCGCAGACTTGTGTCGATAGAATGCATTTGGTTTGATCGCATTGGAACTCCGAACCTAAGCAAAGCTCATTGTCGTCTATGTTCGATGACGATATTTGTTTTTGCGATGATGGTGATAATGATGATGATCAGTGGATGATAAACAAATGGAAAAGGAATGAAAAAGAGAAGAAAAAATGATACAAAAGCAATTCGATAGTACAAATCAGCAAAATAAAACTAAACGTAAAAAAAAACTTAAAATATTGTTCGGCTCAAGCAAAATTTGGTGCTATTTGTAATTAATGACTACTGAAAAATTTGTGCGTAAAATGTAAATGGGAAATTGCTTAAAATTTATGGGGAAACTCCCTTAGTGTTAGTCAAATGAATATAAATCATATAAACCAATGAACCAAATTTTCATTCTATTCCTAGAATCTACGGACGTCATAGCGTTAAATTTTAAATAAAAAAAAACGGTAAAAGGAAAGGAGTTAGAAAAGGGGCAAAAGCAATAAATAAAACACCTGAAGTGCCTGAGCAGAGATATTCGTCACTTCCGTCATCACAGTCAACCACTCCATTACAAAACTTGTACGATTCGATACACTTGCCGTCCGATACGCATTTTATCTCACCCATGGCACATGTCAAATCATTATTACCCGAATTGTGTGGAACTAGAAATATGTGCGGGACATGGTTTTTTTTGGTGTTCATTCAGAAGAAAAAATTGTGATCAATTGACAGAGAAAAAAAAACAATTTGTTTAACACGAAACAGTTACGGACGGTTTTTTGTTACGATTGGTGAGGTGGGGTGTAAACATGAAACGTTCAAAATTCATAACAGATGCACTGGGGATAAATGGGTTTATCGAAGTGATTATTTGGATTTCTAGTTTACAGGGGAACTATTTTTTTTATAAAATACTCAAATCTTTGATAAAAAAAAAGGTGTCAATTTCCACACAAAAAATCAAAAAATGTCAGATCACAATTGAAAAATGTTATAAAAAAAATTTTGTTAGTGAAAAATTTGAAATCGACAAAAAAAATGGAAATCGGTTATTGCACGTTATCCAGAAAATACGTGGAAAAAATGAGAATAAAATCGATTCATTCAAATTTCATCGATTTGTTATCTAAACGAAAATTCTATCGATAATTATCGATTCGGAAAAAACGGATTTTCAAAAGTTCGATCAAATGAGAATAAGATTCATCTTGGTCATTGATTTTAGTATAGGATGAAATTGAGGATTGTGTACAAATGAAGTTAACATATTAAAATATTAGCACAACCACACACAAGAACACACACATACACACACATACACACGGAAAAATAGTTAAGAACGAAGTGTCATTTGGTTTGGTGCCTTACCACAAACGATTTTACTCTCATCGCTATCGTCAATACAATCACTAATGCCGTCGCATTTTTTCGAAATATCCACACATCCACCACCTGTCAAGCATTTGAACTAAACGCGATTGAATTGAGCGCGCGCGCGAGTGAATTGAAAGTGTGTGTGCCATCATTTGAAGAGAATAAACAAATAGAATCAATCAACTGGGGTAAAATAAAAATCATTTCACAGCCAAAACTGGCCATTTACAACAGCAATAACAACAGGAAAAAGACCACAAATGCTAACCATTCTTCGAGAGAATGTTTATCCATTCATTATTACCGACTCAATTGAAGAAATTGTGAACGGCATCGTTGTCGTCACATTAAAACTAACCTGATCGGGAGTACATTGGCAAATGGAAGCCTCTTCATCTTTTCCATTTAAGCAATCATTCGTGCCATCACACACCGCCGAACGGTCCAAACATTGATTACTTTCATCAAAACATGCAAATTCACTTTGATCACACGTGGGATACTCGATGTTTCCCGCTAAAAAAAAAATGTCACAAAACAATACCAATATTTAACCGAATGAGACGGATTTTTTTTTCGGAAGATTTTCGAAAGTGAAAAAAAAGAGAAGAAGCCACGAACACAAAAGTAGTAAGACACAGAAGGCAGAGAAAAAAACACAGAAAAATAGAAAATAATTGAATGTTGAAAGAAATCGCGTAGAAGTTAAATTACGTGCACAGTCGAGTTCATCGGAACCATCGTTACAGTTCACAACATTGTTGCAGCGGAGCTTCCCATCAATGCAGGCACCGTTATTGCACTTAAATTTATCCTTAGAGCATGCATTAGCTGACATCGCATAGCACAAATTGATACAATTGTTGGTTTCATTTTGTAGGTTAATTGATTCCATTCCCCGCCCGAGGAACAATCACATATTCCCATTCAATCCATGATTTACATTTTAATTTATTTATGGTAAATTACCCGTGATTCAATCCATATCATTTAAGTAAAAATAAAAATAAAATAAAATAAAAATATGTTAATTTTTAATTAAATAATTATCCCATTAATAGCTATAAACTAGGGCTAATGAGTTAGTTGTATCAAGAAATCATATTATTTGAACACCACTTATCATTGAAACAATAATTGATAAAATATTTTTGGAATTTAATTTAATTTGATTCAATTTGTTTTAATTGATGATGATTTCTTGAATCAACGCTTTGGAAAAAAGGCAGGTACGCTAAATATGAAACCGATTTTCTGGCTTGAAACATCAATTGATATGAATATTTTGATATGAATTCATTGTATTTTTGAATATTTTCAATTTTCTTGAAGAAAAGCATTTTTTTTAATATTCCTCGACTTTGTACACTTTGGGAAAGATGTCGAAAGATTTTAAGTCTAGTCATTTTGTTCACATTTCCTTCAAGTCTGAACATTTTGTTCAAGTATTTCGATAGAATTTGAATTGAATCAAAGGGGGACAAATTGGCACGGTCTATTCGTACGGTAAAATTTGCGTTAAGTCTCACAGGCTATTCGTACGGTGAATTTCAGAATTTTGTACGAATAGATATAGAGACTAAACGTACGAATCGTACGAATAATTTTTAAATTCTCCGTATGTTTAGTCTCCATGTCTATTCATAAGAAATTCTTAAATACATCCGTATAAACGAA